GGGGGAAAGGTTTCATTCTCACTCTTGTCGTTGTTGTTTCAGTATTCGGATTTTGACGATTTGGAAAAGGATTTCACTCAAATGTGTAAAAATGCTCAAATATACAACGAAGAAGCTTCTCTCATACACGAAGATTCGATCGTACTTCAATCCGTGTTTACGAACGCGAGACAAAGATTGGAACAGGATGCGGAAACGGATGAGGATAAAGGTGATGATGAAAGAATCGCTTAAAAAAGGATTTTTGTTCGTCGAATTTTATTTATTTTGGATTTTTTAAATTTTCAGACGGTGGAGACGAGGATGGAAATTCCGAATCGGAATCCGTTAGAATGAAAATAAAAATAAAAAGTGGAAAAGGAGGAAGAGGAGGTGAGGGAATAGGAAGCACGAGAAGGAGGAAAATTCAACCAAAGTACACGAATAGCGATGACGAAGACGAAGATGATTGATTGGAAAGAGGAAAAAAGAAGAAGAAGGAGGAGGAGGAAGAGGAGGAAAAGGAGGAGGAAAAAGAAGAAACAAAAAGGAAAAGAAAAGGAATAGGAAGAAGAAAATAGATATTGCATAAAATTACATGTTGAATAATTATGGGAAAAAAAAGACATAAAAAAAATTTAATTTTAATAAAAATATAATTTATTATTGTGAATTAAAATTTTTCTTTTTTTTTTTCATTCTTAATGTACATCCTTATACACAGTATACAAATTTAAATTTTCTACCTAAAAAACATCGAAAATTTTGGCCAAATGTATTAGAAAAACATAATACCCAAGGAGGTATAGAAAAAAATAAAATTCAAACAATGGATTCCCGCTTAAAATAAAATGTGTGCCAGGTAAAATATACAAGGTCGTCCTACTTAGCGTAAACAGTAAACAAGGTCGACCTTGGTTGAAAAATCGTGACCATGAAAATTTTCACAAAATTGAAATTTAAAACTAATGGCCTTGGATTCAAGGTCGACCTACTTTAGAATAAATCGTAAACGTTGGATTTTCGCGCTCAGGGTCATTTTTAACTTAATTTTTAATCGAAAATTTTTTTCCGATGTATCCGTAAAACATAAGATCCAAGGAGGTTTAATAAAAAATAAAATGGAACAGTGAATTTTCGCTTAAAATCAGGAGTACAAAATAAAAAACAAATAATTAATATAAAAAAAAATAATTATATTACAATAAGTTAGACTAAATTACAAAACTTTTGATACATACATAACTTCTTATAACTAAATCACTAAATAAAATTATTATAAAATTAATTTAATAAGTTGACATGATGTAAACGCATAAACCTAACCTCTAACACACCCGCACTAACCT